AATACCAGCACTGATACACAACATGCTACAAAAGTGGACCATAACCAAAAACTTTATAAGATCGTAATACAAAAACCAATGTCAAATTCAGTAACATCTGCACAGTATTATAGTTCCTTTCGAGATATATACATGGAAGAAGATCAACGAACAAAAAGCAAAACGAAAGCTTATAGAACAAGAAAGAAAACCCTAATCTCTTACCCATGGAAGTGGGATCATACTTGGAACGTACACATAGCCACAAACGAAGGAGCCAGAATAGTCATGCATGTAGTCACGCTCTGTCACCTTTTCATTTCTCACCCCATCCTCATCAATCTCATACAGAGTAAGGCAACGACAAACCTTATCACCTTCTCCTTCAACTCCCACGCACCATGCGATGACACTCTTAGTCTTCGCAAAGCAATAAACAGCATAAGCCGCATCATCATGGAGCCGTAACGCCGGAAGATCAGGAGCGGACAAACTGAAATACTTGCTAAACGAGACATCACCATCACCCAACTTACTTGAAACCCACACCTCAATGGTTCTTGATACTTGCTCTTGTTGTAGCAAAGACAAGCTATCTCCATTGAAAGACGATAAGTGACTATTATCATAAGAAGGAGGACAGAAACATATATCCTTAAATGTTTCATCCGAGAAATCGAAACAACGAATGAACTCTTCTTCATCCTCTTCTTCTTCTTCATCATCTCTGTAGACAATCCAATACATGTTACCCATCACAGCCACACAGTTACGCATGATATTCACATTCATATCAAGCTCCAAATCAAGAGTCCTCCAAGAACTGGTGTTGCACTCATAAATCTCAACCTTTGGTTCATCTTCATAACGCTCAATCTCCCAAGGGCGGCTAGTAAACCTCAAGATCTTGTAACCATTCTTGTTCTTGTCGTATCCAATCCCGTGGTAGTCAAAGCTCGTGATGCTTCGTGAGGGCTCGATCCATCTGATGTTTCTCAAGACAGGATTCCAAAGTGCGAGGTTGGTGTCTCTTGATCCGTCGTCTTTGTACTCAACCAGCATGAATCCATCGCAGTGTACCATGTGTGTGTCAACCAAAGTATCAATCTTGAATGGATGTTGTAATAACTCGTTTGGGACTGGTAAAACAGAGTTTTTTCTCGTCGATGGATCCATGATTTGTACCGTATCAGTGGCTCTTAGGAAGTGTTCTTGAGAGCGTTGGAAGTGTTTGTGGATGAAAGTTTCGTCGGTGATGAGAGTGTACAGTTTCTTGCACGTTGGTTTTGATCGGACGAGAGCTTCCGCCGGAGTCTTGTAAAAGATTTCATGTATTATCTCCGGTGGCAGCAGCGACAATGACCACGGACGCCTTGGAGAAGCCATGGACGAACGCTGTGAAAGATTCGAGTGGTATCAGAGTTTCTTGGACAAGAAGTTACCAACGAAGAAGAAGGAAACGGCTAAACAAAGTGGTTCTTTTAACCGTTAAAACAGTTATAGATTCAACTTAACCAAAAAAACACGAACCGGTTAACCTTATTGATTGAATGAAGCAAACGAACCGGTTTAGTAACCACCGTAGCCCATGTCCATAAGAACAGCTTTTCATGCGAAGAATAACTTCAGATTTCTGATAGTAATATTTTGTGTAACAAATCTAGGATTTTCCAGCATTTTGTGAAAGTTTAAGCTACAAAATTATACTATGTTATGATAAAATTTTCAACTTTGAAACATTCAGA